CCGTCGTCGATTCCGCAGACACTGAGCACCCACTATGTGCCCAGCCCTCCCCAGGCGGCGCGCGAGGGCTGCTCTCGTTTGTCCAGCCCCGCTGGCGCTGTACACAGCCCGGTGTAGGAATGATTCGGTCCGCACTGCAAGCCCGTGGGGTAGTTGCTGTTATAGTTATTATCTGGTAGAAAAGAAAAGCAGGCGGCCCGGCGAAGTTAACTCGCCGAGGATCTGTCTCGGCGAGAAAGTGTGGGAAGACAGTGCTCACAGTTCAGTGGCTGTGATAAGGAAAGCAGACAGGTACACGAGTAGCCATATGGTCGAACAGAAAGGTTGTGGCAACCTGGTGGAAACGGAAATTCGAATGCAGGTGCTTAGCCGACCGTGTTTCTCCTGCCTGGCCAGGTATTCTGTGCTTTTGTGAGTTGAGTTAACGAGGGTTTCATAGGACGTGGGCAGAGACAGGGCAGTACAGGGCCGGTCCACGAGCCTGGAGAGATGGTGTCTTCGGTTATGAGGCGCAGAGTTGGAAGGGGCTGGAAGGCCCTTCGTCATGTGGGTGGGAAACAGTGGAGGGATTTGGCATCGTCTTAGCTAGACCATCCTCTTGAGCTCCGAGTTTTGGCATCGATGCCTGTTTCACAGGTGTCTGTTCCACCTTCCCTTTGACTTCAGCAGAGCACAACCGCTACACAGTTCGGAGGCCATGGGCCCCATAAGAATGGTTCAAAAAAATGACCCATTGTTCAGATGTTAAACAAGGATAACATCACTGAGGTAGATGTTCATGCACATGCCCTTTTGTGTAACACAGAGATTGCGGCAGGGGGAACCGTGGCAAAGTACAAGGGTATGGCTGAAACAGACAGGGCTGGCCTTAAAGAGGAGGAAGAGGCCAGAAGTATCATCCCACAACAATTTTTCCCTTTGAACAGTTCTGTCCTCAGTCTGACACAGTGACCCTCCTTCTATACAGCCTGAGAAACTGAGCACTATCCAGACCAGCTTTTCTGCTTCTGGTCAAGCTCTCTTGGCCCCATTTTCTGATGTGTCTTCCCACATTCTGGTTCTCAGCAACTCAAATGAGTCCACATTAGTTCCTAGAAGTCACTTTTATTTTGCAAGTAGTCATCCACCTTTTTTTGTTTCTGTATTCTTCTAAAATGTATGGAACATCTGTCTTCAGACACTGACCAGAAGTGGCACCCATTCGGGGTCTCTAATTGGTCCTGTGAGTTGCACCTCCAATGTACAAGGAGGAATTCTTCCCACTCCCGCCCAAAATGAGCTCTTCATGTCGATTGGGAAGTCACTTAAGCCTCTGCCATTTCCAGTGACAGGAACATATCAGTCTTGTGATTGTTGGCACATGTAAAAGTATGACTGTCTACCTTCGTCACTAGATGAAGTAGTCGCTGATCTCAGGACAACTTATGTCTGAGACTGAATTGTACCTTGCAGGGAGTTCACGAGGTGTAATGCCAGGCATAGTAACACACTTGTCACTCCAGGACTTGGGGTAATGAAGGCAAGGGTTCAAGGCCATCCTATGCCACCTGGCAGGTTCTAGGTCAGCCTGGGACATGTGAGACTTTATCACAAAAACAAACAAAATAACTCTTTGATTGGTTAAAATTGGCAGAAATAGTAATTTTAGCTCACAGGGGAGGGCAGTTAGGAAGGGACCAAATCAGATTGTCCTAGAGGAAAGGGAATTGCCATTTATGTGTTAAGAGGGGGCATGAGATGTTTTTTTAAACACACTTAAGCAACACCCTTCTTTGTGCCTCTCAGTTGAAGCAGCTGGAGTTTTTGCTGGGTCATCATCAGGCAGTTCCTGTACGATTGTGACTGGAGTGCAGGCTGGGCCCTAGTAAATCTGCAGTTTATCGTTTCTCCACTAAAACACCCCAGCAATGCTAAGTCACTGTTTATTTTGCAAAATTGCACTGTGTGTTTACCATGTGTTTAACACTGTGCTGTGAAAAGACACACTGTCCTCCAGAGGAGATATTCAGTGTAGGCACATACAGAAGATGACTGAATAGGGTTAGGGTAGAAAGTACCAAGGGAGGAATCTGCACAGTATGCTGCAGGATCCCGAGCAAGGTACCTGCCAGCCTCAGGCCAGAGCTTTATACCAAAGAGGCTGTCGCTACAGCAAGGTGTGGTGCATAATAGAGGATGTCCCTACTTCCCACATACATGGGCTCCCCACTCTCAGCTTGGCTCCCCTCATGCCTAGGAGAGAAGGATCACAGTGCAAAGAATGATGTTCTTTCCTCTTTCTTGAAGATTTCTCCATGGACAATGGCAGCTACAATTCAGGCCATGGAGAGGAAGATTGAATCACAGGCTGCTCGACTGCTTTCTCTAGAAGGTCGAACTGGGATGGCAGAGAAGAAGCTGGCTGATTGTGAGAAGACAGCTGTGGAGTTCAGCAACCAGCTGGAGGGCAAGTGGGCTGTGCTGGGGACCCTGCTGCAGGAGTACGGACTGCTACAGCGGCGGCTGGAGAACGTGGAGAACTTGCTACGCAACCGGAACTTCTGGATTCTGAGGCTTCCCCCTGGCAGCAAGGGCGAGGTCCCCAAGGTAACTTTTGGGGCCCCTGGGGTGGAGAGCCCAAGGGTCCATGCCTGCAAGTATGTGGGTGAGTGAGTGTGACACTGTGACCTCTGATGATGTGGCCGTGTCTTTTTTTGAGCAGGAGTGGGGCAAACTAGAGGACTGGCAGAAGGAGCTCTACAAGCACGTGATGAGGGGCAACTATGAGACGCTGGTCTCCCTGGGTAAGGCCTACACACTCTTCTGTAAGGTGGGATTTTAGAGCTCACAGACCTCTCTTTGTGATAGAGTTGTTCTCAGTTCAGTGATGTGTAGATACAGAGATACTTTGAGCAAAGAAAGTTCTCCTGCCTCACCTAGCCATCCTTCCCTTCTCATGTTGTGGGGTGAAGTGTCAGATACTCACTTCTGCTTGGTGGATTAGCAGACCCAGGACAGTGCTAACCTCTGTCCTCACCAGTCCCAGAGTATTGACATCTCTATTTTTGTCGAGACTGGAGTACAGGTGTGCCACAGCACTCCAGTGTGTTTTTAATCAATTCTACTTTAGAAAGGATTCTTCTTTTACCATCAGTTGGGTGGCTTTTATGTAACCCATCACAGGATCTGTGGAGAATAAGGTAGACCTTGCTTCTCAAAACAGGTGTTCTTTCTGTGCCCCCAAATCCTGCTGTCCCAGCCCTTGGGGCTACTGTCCTGAGAGGCCCAGACCCCATTTCTTGGCCTTACTTTCTAGTCAGGAGTGTTTGGTGGAACTGTGAGTGAATACACTCACAGTATGTTTTGCTTTGCAGACATGCTGCTACTTAATGTGGCCCTGTATCCCAGCACGGCTAGCCCTGTGGACTGTTGGGGTGGGGTCTTTTATATGCACTGTTGAATACGCAATAGCACCTCTCCCACCCCCTAGATTCTACACAGATTGTCCCTAGACTTTTCAGCAGAATGCCTGCCATTGAGAACTGTTTTATACCAGTCAAGGCATTTAGTTTCTAGGCTGCTAGTGATTTTGCAGCTGCCTGTCCCCAGCTCTGATGAAAACATGGCAAAATTAACCCCCTGTCTTTCCTCAGACTATGCCATCTCCAAACCTGAGGTCCTCTCCCAGATTGAACAAGGCAAGGAGCCATGCACTTGGCGTCGCACCGGCCCCAAGGTCCCAGAGGTTCCTGTGGACCCAAGTCCAGGTGAAGGGTTGGGAAAAGGTCAGGGGCACACCAGGTGACCAAGTGAACATAGAAAATCAAAGGTCTAGGGTAGTGTTACTCTTCTTTCCAAAAAGACACAAAGTTTCAGATTAAATCTTTCATGATTGAGTCATAACTGACTTACTCAGTCATGTTGTAGAAACTAATGATTTCCATCCTGGACACAGAGAGCAAAGCCAAAAGCAGGGGATGAGAGAAGAGGGAGTGAAGAATTCTCACTGTTCAGAGCCGAGCAAGGAGTCATCTAGTTGTAAACATAGTAGGTGTTTCAGAACCCATTGGCAAGCTGGATGGTCCGGTGTGATTAGAATCAGATGTTCACTTCAAGTGGATTGGGTCCTAAACATCGTGCCTCGTGTTTCCCTGGAGCAGTCAGCACCTCTGCAAGTTTAGGGAGGGTGGGGATGCTGGGCTCCCTTGCTGGGTTATTTGGTGCGAAACATTGTCTCTGCTCAACCTCTGCGTTCTCCTTTGCTCCTTGCCTGTCCTGCCACCTTGGGTTTGTGCTCTTGATAGTGTGTCACTCGGGTCTCCCTATGGTTAACTCCTATGTGTTCTACGTGCTTACTTCATGGAAGTTAAGCTTCATCTCAGACAAGAGCAGAAACAGGTCTAGAGCTGAGCACATGGCCAGTTTTCACTGATGCAGTAACAATGTAGTTCAGCAGATGTATTTCACGAGAGTTTTGTTGGTACCAAGGACAGTGTGTCAGCTGGATGGTGGAAAAGTGCCTACTGAGTTCTCTGCCTGGAAGAGGTGGGGGACACATGTAACCTTGACTTCCAAAGTCAAAAGTGAGAAGTTCCTGGTATCTGATTTTTATTTCTTAATGTTTGTAACATGTGGTAATATCCCTTGTGAGAACCGGTAGGGTCCACAAAGCAGCCAGTTGCTGGCCCTCACTCTCCACTGTCCATTGGGACTTGTTGCCTTTCTTCCCTCCTCAGTCCTAGCATCTAGGATCCCTGCCCTCCTCCAAGTCTTCATTGAGCTGGCCCAGGCCCTTGCCAGGCCTCATCTCTTCTCTTTACCCCTAATGTCTCCATGGTGCTGTTCAGGACCCACCATGCCTAGCAAGTACTCCTGGGGCTGGAATATTCCCATCTGTCTTTGCAAGTGCCGTTGCCCTGAAGCTCTTTTCCATGTCCCTTTGACGTTGGGCTTTCAAGAGGCCAGTGTCCTGCTCCTGCTCATTGACCTTGTTAGCCTCTCTCTCTCGTCTGAAACCCTGTCTTGAGCTAAGACTTCCTTTAGATCTCTACTCCTGAAGATTGCTTTGCTACATCCATGTGGTGGCCTTACCTCTCTACCCTGCTTCACCATCTGGCACTGTTGATGGATTCCTCATTCCTTCCTAGCATGTGTTCCATAATCCCAGAGAAATCATCTGCCTGCTCTGCACTTGCACCCACACAGCTGCCAATGCCAAACCCGTAACCCTGCAGCCAGTCCCATGTGGTATTCCTGACCAGCATTTAGTGGGAGCTTTTTATCAGCCAGTCGTCACCAGCATCATCTCAGTTGCCTCACTAGCTCAGAGGCTGGCAAATTATTGCTCACAGACCAAACCTAGTCCTGGTTATATAGAGCTCACAAACTAAGAATTTCATTTTTAATTTTAAAAACCTGGGAGGGGGGAGCAGGTGTTGCTTGTATAGAGGACTCAGGTTCTTTTCCCAGTACCTACATGGTATTTCATAGCCGTCTGTGCAACTCCCTTTCTAAGAGATCTGACGCCTCAGACAACAGGCACACATGTACCTTCTTTATCAGACACACATATGGTACATTGTATAAACTTATGGACTGAACATTCACACACATAAGAGAAAATAAATCTTTTTTTTTTTTAAGAAAAAGAAAAAAAATTCTCACGGCCCTCCAACTTCTTGTGTTCTGCCTGTTCTGTCCTGTAGCTCTGCTAACCCAGCCATTCTGTAGTCCAATGACTTCCCTTCTGCCTGGCCCAAGACACTGCCCTATGCCACCTTCTCAAGGGCAACAGACATTTCCTCCCTTGACCCCACTACCCTCCCAAGACTGCCCCACTTCTGTAGCCCCTATTCTGGCTCCAGAAGGAGCATGTATGTCTCCAGGCCATCCCTTTTATCTGGGTGCCTCTCCCACTAAGCTCGACTGTATCCGTCTCCACTGAACTGATAGTGCCAAAAGGCCTGCCTTCCTCATTGTGTCTAGAGAGTTTGCCACCATGACTTGCTGTCATAACCCATTTTCTGTTACTACTGAATATCAAAGACTGTGTCATTATAGATTCCCCATAGTCCTAGCTGGCGGCTGTAGAGTCAAGGTCAAGGGGCCATACCTGGTGAGGCCCTTGTTGCTGAAGGCAACAAAGGACATCCCATTGTGAAAAAGCAAATCTCCTTTGCCTTGTTACAAAGCCTCTAATACATTAACAAAGATCAAGGGGCTAAGTTTCCAACATAGGGATCCCAGGGACACACCCAACCATAGCACTGCTTCCTGAAGTCTTGTCTGGATACACAGGACACCTCTATCTCCTGTGGTTCCTGCCCCACCCCTGCTGCCCTTCCTTTGCTGTTTCCTGTGGCCTTGAGACCTTTCTGAAATGGTGTCCCCTCATTTTCACAGTCCTTTCCTCATGGCAGCTTAGGCCTCAGTACCCACCTCTGCGTGTGTGCCCCTAGCCTTGATTTCTGCCTGAATTTCCCACACCCCACTACCTGTGGCCTGTGCTTCCATTTGAGTGGCCCATAGAGAGCCATGGCAAATACACCCAAGGCAAGCTGGGGATCTCCCTGTGAAACCCATTCTCCCCTCATTTCTTCCCTGGCCTCTCTATCCATCCAGCTATAAGCTGGTTTTTACCCAAGTTCTCTGGCCCATCCACCTTCTCTCTTCCTAACCCCCCCACTCAGTTATGGAGACTGCTTCCACAGCTCAGTCTCACTGGCCCTGCCCTTAGCCCCTACAGTCTGCTTGGACCGAGCAAAGAACCCCTTAAAATGCACATCCTAACTTTCCATCCAATCTCCACAGCCCAGCGAACCTGCCACTCCCCTGTCTTTCTGTTCTCATTCCACTGTCCTCTAAACTATTTGCTCAGCATTCGGGGCTGCTGGTCCCAAATCTTTGGCTGGTGTACTTGTTCAGAGCCACCACAGGCAGGCCTTTGAATAGGACTTTCCCCAGTCACCCTATCTAACATTGTAGCTTTCCCACCCACAATTGTAGTCTCTCTGTCCCAAGTATTTTGTATTTATCTATTCATTATATGCATGTCCTCCCTCCCATTTATAAATCTCAAAGGATTAAAAGGTGTGTGTTTTGATCATGAATATTTCATAACAGAGAATAGGAATTCAGGAAGTGGTTTTGTGTGTGTGCTTAGTCCCGTGCTTTAAGATGTATCTCTGGTACCGTTAGCTGCCTTTGTAGACTCAGTCCCATCCTTCATGCAGTAACTACTTGACCTTCATTGCCCAAGTGTTTTGGGAAGCCAACGTACATGTCATTGTATTTTTACTCTGTATTTCACATTTGTCTGTACTCACTTATTAGGTGTTGCTGCTGTGGGAGGTAGTCCTGCTATTTTAGTGCAGGCCTTCCTACCATAACCTCAGTACTGGCTTAGAGGTGGAGCCTATTGCACCTGCCCTAGCCTTTTCAGCAGGTGCTTGATATTTGAAAAACAACTATATAGCTGGGTGTGACACATGCCTGTAATCTCAGCATTTGGAAAGCAAAAGAGTCTTGAGACCAGCTAGGAATACAATAATGAAATTTTCTCTCAAACAAGATAAAAGAAAAATCCAGATGTAATAATGTATGCCAGTGTTTTGGAGGCTGAGGCAGATGGATTGCTATGAGTTCAAGGCCACCTAGATGACAAAGCAAGTTTCAGGCCATTCAGGGCCACATAGTAAGACCCTATCAAAACAACAAGAACAAGAACCAAAAACAAGTAAGAAAGAAAAGAAACTGTTGCAGGATATGTCCAGTAACGTCTTTTTTCAGTCCACAGCAGCATGGGAGTGGCACATCCTTGCATCAACATGTCCATGTCTCTTTGGAGCAGACCTAAGATGCCCCCTGTATCGGTCTTGGTCACCCCCTCTGCCAGTACCACTGCTCTCCTCAGAGTCAACAGAAGCCTTGCCCGTCAGCATTTTGAAATGTGTTTCTGATATCTTTTTCCCACTTTTCATAATCAACATTTGCCAGGCAGGCAGGGGTGAAATTGTATCTCAGTTTAATTTGTTTCTCTGACAGAATATCATAGCATACAGAAGAAAAAAAGAGTCTGCTCATCTCGGGGCAGACAGGAAGCAGAGCAAGATATTGTCTTAATTTTTTTCTTTAAAAGATAAACTTATTTTTATTTTGTGTTTATGAATGTCTTGTCTGCATTTATGTAGGTGCACCATGTGTGTGCAGGACCTACAGAGGCCAGAAGAGGGCATCATATTCCCCCTAGAACTAGAATTATAGATTGTTGTGAGCCACCATGGGATGCTGGGAACTGAACCTGGTCCTCTTCAAGAACAGCAAATGCTCTTAACAGCTGAGCCATCTCTGCAGGCCCTGTAAATATTTTTTAAATATTTTTATTATTTTAATTATATGTATGGGGGGTATGTGCACATGAATGCAAGTCAGAGGTGTCAGATCCCCAGGAGCTGAGGTTGCTGGCAGTTGTAAGCTGCTTGATGAGGGTGCTAGGGATTGAATTCTGGTCATTAAGAAGAGCAGTATGTGCCCTTAACAACTCAGCCATCTCTCCAGCCCCCTTTAAATATTTTTAAATTACACTTTAAATTTAGGGGTGTGGGCATGTGTGTACACTTGCACATGCCATGGTACACGTGAAGGTCAGAGGACAGCTTGTAGAATATGTTTGTTCTCTTATTCCATGTGTATCCTAGTGATCAAACTCTGGTCTTTAGCTTAGCAGCCAGCTCCATTACACCCTGAACCATCTTGCCAGCCCACATTA